TTTTTTCTGAGAAAAACACAACCCATCACAATTTGTGGTGCTGAAGTAGTACTTAGTGGGAACTTCATAGCACTAAATGTCTATATATTTTTTAAATATTTATTTGAGAGAGAGACCATGAGGGAGAAGGAGAGGGAGGGAAACCCAAGCAGACTCCACACTGAGCGCAGAGCCCAGTGTGGGGTTCCATCCCACGACCTGAGCTGAAACCAAGATTTGGACACCCAACTAACTGAGCCACCCAGGCACCCTGATTCCTATATTTTAAAAAGAAGAAGCCTATCTAAGGAAGTAGAAAAAAAGGTAAATGAAACCCAAGATAGGTAGAAGAAAGGAAATAATAAAGAACAGAGCCAAAATGAATACAATAGGATATCAAATAAAACAAGAAAAAAAAGTGAAACTGTTCTTTGAAAAAATCAATTAAATTGATAAACCTCTAGCCAGACTAATCAGGGAAAAGACAAGACACAAATTACTAATGTCAGTAATGAGAAAGGTGACATCATTACAAATTCTTCAGGTATTAAAAGGATAATCAGGAATATGAATATCCTTACTCATTATTTCAACTTAGATGAAGTAGACAAATTTCTTTAAAAGCACAAATCATCAAAGTTCACTCAAGAAGAAACAGATAAATAGCCCTATAGCTATTAAAGAAATTTAATTTATCAAAAATGTCCCATAAAATAAATTCCAGATCCAAATGGCTTCCCCAGTGAGTTCTACCAAGTATTTAAGGAAGAAATAATACAATGACACACAAAGTCTTACAGAAAATTAAAGGGAATGGGGCGCCTGGGTGGCTCAGTCAGTTAAGCATCTGCCTTCAGCTCAGGTCATGATTTCAGGGTCCTGGGATCGAGCCCCATGTTGGGCTCCTTGCTCAGCAGGAGCCTGCTTCTCCTTCTCCCTCTGCCTCTGCCCCCAACTTGTGCACTCTCTCTCTCTCTCAAATAAGTGAATAAAAAGCTTAAAAAAAAAGTTGGACGCGGGGCACCTGGGGCACCTGGGTGGTTCAGTCGGGTGAGCGTCTGCCTTCGGCTCAGGTCATGATCCCGGGATCCTGGGATTGAGCCCCGCATCGGGCTACCGGCTCAATGGGAAGCCTGCTTCTCCCTCTGCCACTCCCCCTGCTTGTGTTCCCTCTCTTGCTGTCTCTCTCTCTCTGTCAAATAAATAAATAAAATCTTAGAAAAAAAAAAAGTCAAGACGCTTAACCGACTGAGCCACCCAGGTGCCCCTAGACGTAAGAATTCTTAAAAGTTTAGTCATCCGATCCAATACTATATAAAAAGGATATGTATAATGACCAAGTAGGATTTATTCTAGCAACTCAAGGTTGGTTTAACATTTGAAAATCAATCAGTACAATTCACTACATTAACAGAGTAAAAAATAAAAAAAAAACAACATATGATCATCTCGATAGATACAGAAAAGGCTTTTGATAAAATCCAGTGTTTGTTCCTGACAAACTCCGGGCAAAACAGAAGTGGAAAGGAACTTCCTTGGCCTGATAAGGAACATCTAGGAAGATCCTACTGTTACCATCGTACATAATGGTGAAAGAATGCTAGATGAGGAGCAAGGCAAGAATGGCCACTCTCACTGCTTCCGTCTATCCAACACTACACAGGAAGATCTAGCCAATATGCCAAGGCGAGAAAAAGAAATAAAAGGCACCCAGATGGGCGTTTCCGTGGCTCAGTCGGTTAAGCATCTGCCTTCGACTCAGGTCGTGATCTCAGGGTTCTGGGATCGAGCCCCACGTCGGGCTCCCTGTTCAGCGGGGGGCCTGCTTCTCCCTCTCCTGCCCACTTGTACTCTCTCTCGCTATCTCTGTTGCTATCTCTCTGTGTGTGTCTCTCTCTCAAATAAATAAATAAAATCTTTTTTTAAAAAGGCATCCAGATTAGAAAGGAAGAAATTAAACTTCATTCACAGATAACATGATCTTTTGTTTTTTTTGTAGCTGATTCTAAATTTCATATGGAAATGCAAAGGACCCGTAACAGCCAAAACAACCTCAAAGAAGGAAAAGCAAAGTTGGAGGACTTATTATAAAGCTACAGTATTTAGGGCCACATGAAATTGGTGTCAAGATAAAGAGATCAAGTTATGCAAAACAGAAAATCCAGAAATAGATCCACACCTATATGATTGATTGTTGACAAAGGTGAAGAGGCAGTTTGGAGGAGATTTTCTGCAGGACCCAGCTTTCTGGGTTCTCAGGCTGGATTTCAGGACACCCCCCCCTCCCCCCAGCTACAAAGGAAGTATGCAGGATTCAGTTTTCTGGGCTCCCTGGCCATCCAACCACCGGTTATGCCAATCCCACCGCTATTTCTCACACCCATCATTCCTATAGGATCAGCAGCTTCCTGTTGGGAGCCGGGGGTTGGATTCTCTTCGTGCATCAGAAGGTGATGGAACAGGTCCATGCGGCAGAATCACTGTGGTGTGGTGCTGTCTGTCAAGAGGACAGCTGCAGAGGCCGTGCAAGCCTCCCTTCGCTAACCTTTACAGGAAGTGGCGGGCTGTTCACAGGGAAATCCCTTTGCCTCACACATAGCAACACCCGAAGTGCTGTGTTAGCGGCTCAGACCATGCTCTGCAGCGAAAGGCTGATGCCTGGTGCTCAGACCTCGCTGGCAGCCCGGCGTATTCTCTGAGGCCCCGCAGTGCAGAACTCCTCACTGATCAGAGGTTCCAGAAGAAGTCCCTAAGAGAGCTCGTTTTCCATGGCTGACAGCCAGATCTGCAGCCTCACCAAGTGATCACTGAACATCAGGGCAGGTGCCTCTGCTGGTAACTCATGATGAGGACATCAGCTGGTGGCCATCGGGGAGCACCCTGGCCGCAGCCTCTGGGTTCCCCTCTTGTCCCCACCACATCTCGGGAGGTGCCACGTCCAGATTAGGAGGACTGGGGAAGCCCGAGGATACAGTAAAGGACCTTCTTGAAGCTCACCCTCAAGTCCAGCCACCCTACAGCATTTCCCCAAATGCTTCCTCCTTCTCCTGCCTCCTTATTCATGCACAGAAATAACATTTTATAGAAAAGAGCGTTTTCCAGATAAGTGAATTTTCCAAATGAGAAAAATTTCACTCTTCAAGCACTTGGAATTTTATTATTTTAACCAGTTGGGAGGGAAGTCTTCCAAAATGAACCACGTGTGGACTTCCTCGCACAGCTCCATAATCTGCTGGCGTATGAGGACTCACTGTGAGCATGGGGACTAGGCTGTAATCCCAGGAGGCCTCTGGGTCATCTTGAGACCCATGGCCTCAGACAGAAATGCCTTGAGAGTCGTAGCCAGCCTTGAAAAGGAAGCACATCCTGACACATGCTACACTATGGATGAACCTTGAGGGCCTGATGCGCGGTGAAGTAAAGCAGTCACAAGAAGACAAGTTGTGATTCCACTGATAGGAGGTCCCTGGAGTCGTCACATCCAGAGACAGAAAGTAGAAAGGCATCCGCCGGGGCACTGGGGAGAGGGAAGCAGCTGTTTGGTGAGGGTAGAGTTTCCGTCGTGCAAGATGACGAAGTTCCAGAGACAGAGGGTCGTGGTGGTTGCACAACGCGAAGGAGTGGCGCAGCATTGCACGCTTAAACGTGGTTACGAAGGTCAGTTCTACGAGTATGTTATCACAAGTCACGGTAGGTAATAGACCATCCACAGTCTCAACCAAGGACCCTGACGATGCTGAGTGAACCGCCAAGCCAAGGAGCCAGCGTTGATGCGGGACCATGCCCCTAAGCTCTTCGGGATCGTTTCCAACAGGAGAGGTGGTGGTGAACGTTCACTGAGCCTTAAGCACCTGGTGGGCAGAGGCCAAGCCCACACAGAGCTGGGCTGGCACAGACTGTCAGCTCGGGCAGGGCCTGGAGTGAAGCAGCCACCCCTGAAGAACGCTCAGTGCATGAACAGCCCTCTGTAGGGCGGCCTTTCTCCAGCCTCCCCCCCACCCCCCGACCGCTCGCTTACACGCCTGAGCAGGGATTAGACCAAGGCTGGCCAAAGTGCTCCTCGGTCCCTTGGCACATCCAGCATGGGGCAGAAAAAAATCTTTTTTACATCCGGTTACAAGGTCAATAACAGCTAACACCTGTAGCCTTGGGCTAAGGGCCATGCTTGCCAGTCCCAAGTCCTCCTTCCCTGAGAGGAGAACACCATAGCCCTATCTTGCAGATGAGCAAACTGAGTCTCAGGGGCTTACCAGCATTAATAGGTCAAATTTCCCTCATACCTACTGTGTTCCCGGAAGACGGCCATCCTCCTGGTCCTGTCTTCTGACCCTCCAGCCGGCCCCCTGCAGACTCATCGTCACAAACCACTTTCCCCTGGGGATGGTAAGCTCCAAGCTGCTGCTTCTCCAGCACCTGGCAAAGGACCTCACACACAGGAGAGGGTCAGAAGTACATCTGTTGAAAGGAGGTGCCAATGCATGCCACGACACGGGGGAACCCTGAAAACGCCACGCCGAGGGGAAGGAGCCAGGCACGGGCGAGCAACGTGGTGTGACTCCATTCACACGGAATGTCCCAAGTAGGGACACGGATGGAGACAGAAGGGAGATCGGCGGTGGCTTAGGGCTGGGGCGTTAGGGACGATGATCCCTGGCAGGCGCAGGGTTTCCCTTTGAGGTGATGCGATCATTCCAAAATCGGGGTACTGGCGTTACAGCTCTGGGCATACACTAAACGCCAGTGGATGGTGCACTTTACATGGGTGAGCTGTTTGACATGTGACCCCTAGCTCGATACAGCCGTGGAAACAACACTGAGATCCTCTTGTCTGACTGGCTGGATGGCACCCAGTATGCATCAGGGGAGAGTCTAAGGATCCTGAATAACCAAGGCCTGTGGTCTGGATGTTGCCATTTTGAAGGAGGGGTGTCTCTGGTCTCCCGTGGAAGCCCCGATCCGGTATGGTCATCCTCAGGCAGCCCCTTGGGCAGGGTTCACAGCTGCCGCGCATTGCTGGGCCCGGACGGGAGGGCGAGCTAGGTGTGCGTGTCCCAGCTTGCCGATCAGGAAACTCAGGCATGTGAGGTCAGGCAACCAGCCGACCTCACTCGCCGACCTCACTCACCAAGACAAGTGGCAGCCAAGAATAGCGCAGGGTTTCTAACCGCGTCTCACTTGCCATAAACACCCAGCGCCGCCGCCTGTCATCTGTCTGATTTAAAAAGGGACCATAAACGATGAAGCAGGGCAGTGGCCCTTAAAGCTAAATTGGGCTCAGGCCGGTAGAGGAATGAATCCATCCCGCCTTCCAGTCCACACAGACCAGTGGGGAAGGACCTGCCTGGACCCTTGTCAGCAGCTCGGGTTGGCCTCTCTGGACCCAGGCGCAGAGACACAGCTCATTCGCTCAGATGTGTTTTTTTGCATTTAATAATTTTCATCTTCCCGTGTCAGTGGGCCTGTGATGAGTCGCGTTCAGCCCCACGCCAGGGGCTTTCTGTGCAGTAGTCGCAGAAGAGCAGGGATGGGCAGTCTGGTAGAACTGGAGTGTGGAGAGGCCGGGGGTGGTGTAGCCAAAAGAGCAGTGACCCAGCAAGGTCACCAGACGGATGTTTGAAACCCGCCCAGCTCTGCAACTACCCAGCTGAGTGACCTCCAGCAGGTCCTGCAGCCCCTTCTGAGGGCCAGTTTCCTCATCTCTGAAAGTTCCCCTTCTACACTCGTATGTGCTCGGCGGTGGCAGGAAGGGCCCTCCAGCACCAGAGCGTGCACTCTGCATGTGCGTTGTTGTGGGCCTGAGTGGTGGGCTAAGGATTTGGGGTGGGTCCGTTTGGATGGTGTGTGTTCACAGTAACCTGTTGCTACCTCCAATATTTGCCCTAATCCAATGCCCAGACCCCAGCCAGGTGGGAAACAGTGTCTGTGGGGCCAGCCGGGCAGGACAAATGATAACCAAGAGAGAAATCAAGCTGGAGGTGAGAAAGCACATGTGAGCCGATAGAAATGTCCCCCAGGGCCTTAGAGTGCCTCCAGCCATGGCCTCTCTATGGTTCCCTCTGAGCTGTCCCGCTCTTGGCCCAACAACAAGTGGGGTTTCCTCTGTGGGCTGAAGACCTCACCGACAGGGAGCCCGAGTCCAGAGGCTGGACTCTCCCCAGAAGTGACCAGAGGTAACAGTCAGGCTGTGTGCAGGGTCACAGCGTGCCTGCTTCTCTCCGGCATCGTGGGGCAGGCGGGCCTGGCCCGGCCCTGACAGCCGGCGCCCCCAGGCCCCGCTCCGGCAGGGGACCTTGCAACAGCTGGCTCGAGTCTGGTGTCTGTGTCTCATCCCAGTCTGGGACTTCTAAATTTAACCTGCTATCAGCCTTGAGAGGCGGGAGGGCTTCCACTGTGACTAAATGCCACTTGGAACCCTCTTCACTCATGGCCACCCTCCTGGCGCATTCCCCTCCGGAACGTTCCCCGCCCCCCAGTGCGCGCCACCATCTGCGCGTCCTCAGCCGCGTGTCGGCCCGAAGGCCCAAATGGCTGAGCAGCTCTGGCTTTATCCCGATGTGATCCAGCTCGGCTTTGTCCCGCCACTGGCTAGACCGGCACCCCTGTCGTCCACACGCACGCACACACGCCCCAGGCTCTCTCACAGGCAGAGCTCGGGAGCCGATACCACAACCGAAAGCCAACCACAACAGTGAACTGTACCACCCATAAGCCATCTGGGTGGAGGGCGGCCAGCAGAGCCTGTTATGCAATTTCCTGCTTTGGTGTCTCAGACCCAGGAGACAGGATGCAGAATGCCGTTGGGTTGTTGCAATGTGGAAAACCCAGAGAAGAAACCCAATCCCCGATGCCCACAGTGAACGGGGTCCCTTGTCCTCTGTGGCAATGCCAAGAGGCTGCCGGTACCCCTGGAGGATGAGCCCGTGGTCTGCAGCCGACCGGGCAGCCCCCCACCAAAGGGAACGGGCCGGACTCACTGTGGGCATCAGGGGACTGACGGCTGCACAAAACCTTCCAGGGGCGGCGGGGGCGCTGGGCGGGGCGGGGAGAAAGGCATTTCCTGCCCGGGAGCCCAGGATGGATGGAGCAAAGGCACAGGGCCTTCTTAACAGTCGCTGTTATTTATTGAGCACCAAACGTATGCTCTGTAGCAATACGCCAGGATTGAGGGTATGCAGTGGTAAGGGTTTGGGCTCCAGGGCCAGGGTTCAAACTCTGATCAACTCTGCCTCTTCTCAGATGCATGGCCTTGAGCAACTTCTCAACTTCTGCTGTCCCTCAGTTTCCTCATCTGTGAAATGGGGACCCTAAGAACACCCGGGTTGTTAACACCTGGAAACCAAGTAGACCAGCGTGTGTTCACCACGTCAACTAGGAGGCAACGACTCGGAGAATCCCGACTTTCCATACAAGGTAAAGGGGGCTCAGAGGGGCTCAGTGTCTTATCCAAACTCATGCAAGTTGCCTTGACTCCATGGTCCACCTTCAGAGCCCACACCCACCTCCCATCCTTTCATAAGAAAGTTCTAATTAGAAGAAAGCGTTTACTATGAGGGCCATGACTCCACGCCACCCCCTTTCGTTGGCCGCTGACCAAGGGCAGGGCACAGAGCCATGTTCTAGACTGACACCGTCCCGGCAACCGTTTCTCCGTGTGAAGACAGGTTTGCAGGCCCGTGGGCATCTGAACACTAACTCCCCATCACATGGGTTTCTACTGTTTGCCAAAAAACCAAGCTGCCCCCAAGTCCTGCCTCCACACGGGGCACCAGCCGGGGCACTCTGGGCAGGGACTTGAGGTCCCAGGGCTGCAGACAGCAGAGGATGCGTGAACAAAGCGGCCCACCTCCAAGTATGCTCGCTCCCGTGGCCAGAACACCATTGACCCCGAAATGAACCATCACTTCAGAAACACTTCAGAAACATCCAGACCCTAGCCAGGCCTACTTTAAAATTATTTTATTTCTCTTTGTGAATATTTGTTGGTTCTTTTTTAAAAAGGTGAATTTTACATGTTCTTCAAGAGTCTCGTGCCTTCTGGTAAGTGCATTGGTTTGTTTTCACAGTACTCTCCACGACCACGGATGGGCCTTATTGCTGGAGGAGTGTGTCCACGCCAGGGGTGGGGGACACCAGAGGGATTGGGGACCCAGGTGAAAAGCCTGGGGTCTGTGCTCCTGACAGGGAGGCGGCCCAGGGACCAGACCCAAGCGAAGCCCAGTGTCCTTGGCTGGACCTGCAGCCTCTCCGGGGTCTTTCCTGCCCCGTCTTCAGAAAGGCCAGGAGGGACAGAGAGAAAGGGGGGCCGGAGGGGCAGGGTGAGTCAGGGAGCAAGGTGAGCTGGGGCCCAGACATGCGGCAGGCTGGGGGAGGCAGCCAGAGCAGGTTTGCTCCCTCCCAGTGGGCACAGCGCTGGTCCCTGGCAAGAGACCTTGCTCACACTCAGCAGGTGCATGTTTGGGGGAGTCTGCCCCCAACAGCTCAGGACCACTCGTTATTATCCTCTCCTGCTCCCACCCCATCGCACAGTGAGCATCCCTTAGTGATGACCCAGCCCAGAACCCGAACTCCAGCTTCCTGACCCCTCGCCCAGGGCCCTTCCTCTTTTTTTTAGTGCAAGAAAGACCTGAGTGCAGAGAAGGGCCGCTCTGTTAGGAGGCCAGGTCCTGTCCACGGCAGCAGGATGCCGTCAGCCTGGCCCCTCCCTGGCCCTTCCCCAGAGGTAGAGCTGGGACCCATCGTCCCCCTCACTCAAGGCTCTCTGGCCTCTCGGGGTGACAGGGTCTCCGTACACACCAAGGGGAACAGGCAGTTTCCAGGGGGAAGGTCCTGGGCCTGACAAAGGGGTTCCCCAAGCAGCACGCAAGTGTTGGTACCACAGGCATGTTCCGGTCCAGTTGTCCCAGGATAGCTGCGGGCCCGCTGTCAGGAGCGGGGCGTGGGAGACAGACAGGACATTAAGCACCCTTGGAGTAAGTACAAGAGCAAGGTGACCCACATCCTCCCACGCTGTCACTGGGACTCCTAACAAGTGGCTCATCTGCAGCAGAAATGAATTATTTTTCTTTTCTGATGGTTTTCTGTGCTTGGGTATTATTAGTTTGAATGCAGGGCCAGGTGAAGTAGCTGTGGGGGTTGGCAAGCTTGAGGAAGGGGGCTTCCGTGGGGTGTCCCCCATAGCTCCTGCAAGCAGCCTTCAAGGCAGACATTACTAAGAAAGCTTGGGGTCGCTCAGGACCATCCTCGGGCTCTGGAGGGCCCTGGACCCGAGGGATGTTGGCCCTCCACACTGGCCACACTGGCCCGACCAGCCTCCAGAGCGGCCCCAATGCCTGTCAACCATGGCCCCATGTCACCCCCACCAGCCAGAGGCCCTGGTTTGCTTCCTTGAGGATAAGCAGCAGAGGGCGTCTGCTGATGGCCTCCCCGGCCTCCCCAGATCCAGGACCGCCTATCCTTGGGTGCCCCCCTGGCAGCTTGCCTCCCACCTCCAACACTGGCGCCCAGAGCCGTCTGCAGCTTCTCCCAGAGCACCTGGCGCGGGGTGGGGGGCATCTCCTGAGAAGGAGCCAGGAGGGAGATTGCCTGCCTCTCTTACCTTGGAACTAAATCTGGCTCAAGGTGGCTGGCCCTCCAGGCTTTTGGGGCCAGTGTGGACAGAAAAGGGAAAGACGCACGATAGTGAGATATGCCTGTGGAGCTACCTGTGGCTGGGTGCTGAGGACTGAGATGGCGAGAATCCCAGGGCTTAGCCCTCCCTCTCTCCTCCCAGATCCGCCCCAGGCAAGGTAAGGCTGCCAGAAGAGAGAGGAGAGGAGCAGCCCCAGCAGATCCACCCCCTGGGACCGCATAGGTACCTTCTCCGCAGGTATGGGGAAGGGGGAGAGAAGGGGCTCTTTAGGTGGTCGGTCTGGTTTCTGGTTTCGTTTCTGCTGAAACGAAAGAATGAGCAGCTGGTTTTAGGTCTAAATCTGTCCCCCTGCCCCTCTCTCAAGACAGCCGGGAGGAGGGCTCAGGTGCCCCTCCCCCCCCCCCCCCCCCCCCCGCAGCAGAAGATGAACAGTCCGGTAGAAAAGAGATCCTGCTTTCTTTGTCTGTTTTGGGCTTTTTCCTTTAAATTCAGCTTAAGGCAAAAGTTTGGCAAAGCGAGTCTACGTAAGGCCGCGTGAGGGAGGACGAGGGGAGCTGCCATGGGGGGCCGCCACTCACAAATCAGCAGCAGCTGCCAGTCAGGGTCATAACCAGCCCTGCCTCCTCCCGCCCAGAACCTCTTAAAGAGGTGTTTAAAAAAAAAGAAGAAGAAGAAGAAGAACTGAAAAAGCAGTTGTTTCGGGGAGTCTTGCAAGTGAATGACTGGAATTGCCAGAAAAGGAGACCCAAGGTGAAGGGGGGACGTGGGGTTGGGTGTCCCGGCCGGGCCTCCCCCTCCCCGAAAGGAAGCAGGTGCCAAGAGGGCTGGGGGAGGCCATCCCGGGGCATTTGCACAGTGAGATCCGCCCGCTCGAGCAGGTAGAGTGGTTGTATTTTGCTGAATGACTGAAGAGTCCGTGTGGGTGTTGTTGGAGCAGTGTTATTATTTGAGTCCAGCCTAGCAGGGCACGCTGGCTGTTACCGGTGCTTGGGTGGGATCACTACCAGCGGCTGCCCATACTTGGGCCGCCACATGAGGACCTGAGCGTCGTTGGCATTGGGCTTGACCAGGGCGCTGGGCGGTATCGGCTCGTTCTTGCTCAGGATTTTGGGCTGGTCCTGGGCGATGGGCTCCCGCAGCCTGGCGCGCTGGCCCAGGGGCCGGTTGGGGTTCACCTCGATGCTGAGCTGCATCCGCCAGTGCAGCGTCTGCAAAATGATCATGTCATTGGTCGAGGTGTTGGTGGCCACCAGCCACGTGGTGAAGCTCTGGTCCCGGTAGATGTTGGTCAGCTTGGCCACGTTGCTCTCACTGACGGGCACGGCCCACGTGACGCTGGGATAGAAGTTGTCGTTCATGCTGATGATGAACTTGGAGTCTCTCTTGGTGGGACCCACAATAGTGCACGTCTCTGTGGTGTTGCCGTACCAGGGGTAGTTCACTCCGTCTGAGTCACTGATGGCCTCGATCTTGCCCTCCTGGAGGTCCGGGAGCTCCCAGCTGGACCTGAGGACAGGAAGGCCAGTTTACTCAATCAGCCACTCACGAGGCTGCGTTCCCCCCGCTCTGGGGGTGGGGGGGTAGGGGCAGACAGTACACAGACATCCACCGTCCCATCTGGGTTCCCCCAGACACAGCCCCCTTCAAAGCCACATCCTGTTCTCCTGCATCATCTCATACCAGTCATCACTACTGTTACTATAATAATAGCTCTTGGACGGAAGAGGACACCAGCCTGTCTCCCATGTGGCTGGGGGCACAGCGGCATCCAGGGAGCCCCCCCGCCTAGGACACTCATCAACAATCGTGTCCATCCCACCAGACAGATAAAGACAGTGAAGCCGGGGCCGGGGGAGCTTTTCCAGGCAGCCTGACTTCATCCAGTGCTGTTTCCACCTGAGCACCCGTAATACCAAAGCTCAGGACGCTCTGCACCCAGAATTCTGCACAACAGGGTAAACCAGCAGTGCCCTCCAGGATATAGTACTTTCCAGGATGCACTCCTGTTCACAGCAGCATCATTCACAATGGCCAAGCGATGGAAGAAACCCACATGTCCGTTGGCGGGAGAATCGATAAACAAAATGCAGTCTATCCACACAATGGGAATATTATTCAGCCTTAAAAAGGAAGGAACTGTTGCAATATACTACAACATGGATAAACCCTGAAGACATCATGCTGAGTAAAATAAGTCAGACACAAAAGGATAAATGCTATATGATTCCACGTATAGGAGGTTCCTAGTGTGGTCAAATTCATAGAAACAGAAAGTAGAACTTGCCGGGGGAGGGGGAAGATGGGGAGTCAGTGTTTCACGGGTGCAGAGTTCCAGGCGGAGAAGATGGAAAAGTTCTGGAAACAGATGCACAACGATGTGGAGGTACTTAATGCCACCGAACTCAAAAACGGTGAAAATGGTCAATTTCGTTAGGCGTATCTTATCACTATAAAAAGATGCACTCCTCTACCCAAATGCATCATTTGATGTTAGCAGTTAGCAAATTTGGGGACACTCTGGGAGGGATGACTAGGAATGCGATGTTGCTAATTTTCCTGTTCATTTCCTTTCTGTTCTTTGTTTATTCCATTGAAAAAGTCACAAATTAGGGTAACACCTGCCTACTAGGCCACCTCCTGCCTGGGGCCCTGAGCTCATCAAAGTCCCAGGGAACTGGGGCAACAGCTCAGACAACCTCCCATTTCTGAAGTGCCCACCAGTCCCCGAGAGCCACCAGGCCACAGCAGCCACGGGTGGGTGGTAGCAGGATGAGCCTGCTGATCCGGCTCCCCTCGCAGGTGGGTACCTTGGACCAGAGAAGGAGTTTAGGGTCCCTGTCCTGGATTTATTAGAAGCCCATGCCTTTGCCCACCTGTGCCCGGGTGCCCGGAAGGCACCCGCTCTGTCCTCTCATGGTGGCTACACCAACTTGCAAAGGTTTTTATCAAAGGCAGAAAATAGGGCACCTGCACGGCTCAGTTAAGTATCTGACTCTTGACCTCAGGTTAGGTCTTGATCTCAGGGTCATGAGTTCAAGCCCCAAGTTGGGCTCCACGTGGAGCCTACTTAAAAAGAATAATAATAATAGTAATAATAATAAAAAGGCAGAAAGTAAACTTGCAAAAGGAACTTTGCTCTTCCACGGCCCCCTTTCACTGCCTAAGAGCCAGCTTGTTTTTTGTTTTTTGTTTTTTTTTTAAGATTTTATTTATTTATTCATGAGAGACAGAGAGAGAGAGAGAGAGGCAGAGGGAGAAGCAGGCTCCCAAGGAGCAGGGAGCCCGATGCGGGACTCGATCCCAGGACCCTGGGATCATGACCTG